TGTTTTGTAGTGGTGGAAAATGTTCTACAGAGCTGGAAACACAAAAAATCAAAGAAAGTGGTGATTTCTGGGTGGTTTTAGCATGCAGGACAGTAGGTTGAGGATGGAGTATTTCTTTGGAGGAAAGAGGGAAGTCTGGTGCGTGAGAGGGAAGCTGAGGTTATGTCCCTAATCTGTTTTTGTGCTGCATGCGTATATCTCTTCTGAAAAATGAAGGGCAGATGATTTTTATATATATGCAGTGGTATTGTTGTAATTTCTGGTTGATAGCTTAGAGGTGTGCAGATAGGTTTGGGTGAGCTGTCGAATTTTCGATGGCTCCGGGTATTGTTGGCAGCTCTTATGACAGTGGCATTATGAATTGCCTAATGGTTCCAACGAAGCTTTACTGGTTTTGGCGAAGAACTGGAAATTGTATATTTCTAGTAATGCCTTTAGCCATACGAAATCCCATCTTTAGGGAGGTGCTTGAGTGCAGCCGGCAAAAACAACATCTGCATAGGATTTGGTAAGTTCCCCAAACTCTACACAAGATTTTGGAAGATTCTGCAAGCAAATAGTAATCTTTTACAACAGTTTCCAAGACCATGGAGCTTGTACAACTACCCTTACATTAAATTTGGCTGCAAGTTGCTGATGGTGACCAATACAACATCTCTGGTTAATTTTTAGCAGGATTTCCAACCTTTGATTAGTATCAAATGGTACTGTTCTAGGAATCAAGTTCATTTCCATGTCTTCGCCACCCAGCCCTTTTTGGTGAAGTCGGGCAACATTGCCAACGCCAAACTTCGTTGGCGTGGATACCTTGCTTTGCCAGATGGGCAACATTCATCCATCCATGCCTACCAAGCCATTATTCTCACAGTTTATCCCGAATAATTCCCATGAGTTTGGATTCATGGGCTTGTGTTTATCTGCAGCAACAGCAAAACACAAGTGAATATATGTTCAAGTATTCAAGCATAAGAAACGTATAAATATATGCAGTGAAGAAGGGAATGCCCTTGTGTATTAAAGGGGGCTATGTGGATGAATGTTCGCTGCTCCCATTTGTTTGCTAACCATGGAGAGCGTCAATATATTACTGTTGTACATTACTAGCGTTGTGCTAGAATTAGGAACAAGTGATATGGGTGTATATTGCGATATCATTGTCTCGAGCCAAGTTTCGTTGGCTGGCGATACCTGCTAACACATAAGACATAGAAAATATGTGTTATGAGTCGGAATTACTGGTGATTGATAATTTTGTCCCTCTGTATAGAAAAGTGATAATATGCATGACCTCCAACCATATTATATACGTATTGCGGGGTCAGCCATGAATAGTTTCCTCGTAACTAGAGGGACAATAGTGGCTAACTTTACCCATGGTTGAAGCATGAACTATGTGGAATCAAAAGAGCACTCCCATTAATCTGCCAAGCCGTGAATGGGTAAATCTCATTAAACCAAACTCCGACATAACGATGAATATGTATAGAGAAAGGTGGAGTTGTCTTCGTGGAAGGGGGACGTCAGCCGCTTCCATGGCTTTTGACACAACAAGGTGTGATACCACTGACAAATGCTGATCCTTCTTGTCGTACCCGCATCGTTAGAGGAGGTCCTGGTTGTTGTTGCCCACCAGGCACCACAACACCATGCACGGGCGACTGCCAAGGGACCGCCAATCGTTACTTGATGGATTTTTATTGCTAGAGGGTAGTCATCCCATCCGATCGTAGAGTTGGAACTGTTACCAGTCTCATGCCAATCATACCGAGTTGCGATGATTCTTTGTCCGTTTTCGAGAGCTAGTGAGATAGAATATGTAGAGATTCGACCCTTTGTCTGTTGCCGGGAGCTGATGAAATGAAGATATGCAAAAATGTGTAGACTTTTGTCCATTGCTGGAGGCTAAATGAGATAGCAAATTTGGCCCATTGTCCATCGCCAAAAGCTGTGAGTGTAATAGGATCACCCCGTTGTCCATTGATGAGAACTAGTGATAGAGATACGTAGAAATAGATGCTTGGCTTGTTACCCATCATGGGGAGCAATGCAGATCAAATTGTTGTCATTTGATGGGAAGCCATGTAGTAAAGTAGGCTCTTTATCCATTGCTGGGAGCCACAGGATACAGTGGTAAACATTGTTGCAGAGGACATAACCAGCGAGAAATGCCCAATCATGTCGCCAAAATAGATCTAGCCATGTCTAGCCATATATGTGAAAATAAATGCTAGAGTAGGTTATATTCTGCGATGCCTCCAACGAAGTGCATAAGCGTCGTTTCTAGCGATGCTGATTCCATAATAGTGACTAGTATAAAGTAAGAACTATATGTCTGATGTAGGAAATGAGTGTCGTGGGCCTTTGTTGATGTGGATCCGCACACGTGATTGGTTTTGCAACCATACAAATTCATTCCTCAACATTATTAAATTTCAATTTTAATTTTATATTTTAAAAATAAAAAATTAAATCAAATTTATAAAAATAAACAGAAGCAGTACTTATATTAAGTGTTTTGATTGGAAAATGATTTAGAAACGATTTTTTTGTTTTTTTATATAATTTTACATGTCATTTAAATTATTAATTCTTTTTATTTATTTGAAATTCATAATATTAAATATATTCACTCATTTAATGACATATACAAACTATAAAAAAATATTATAAAAATATTATTTTTATATCACTATCCGTTTTGATTAGGATTAAATGTGCCACGTCCGACTGCATTTGTTTTTTTTTTTTTTAATTTTCATTTTCTTGAATTAGATACTTAATTTCGCACCTAACAAAAGTTTGAAAAGAGGGAGGAAGCAAAGGGAAGAGGCTGTCAGGTATTAGCGGTTGGCTGTGTGACGAAGATAAAAGGGAAGAAATCCATCACATAAACCAATTAAAGAAGTGATGAGAACTCGAACCCTCGAGGTAGGAAGGAAAGCAAACACAATAAAAGAAGTTTGGTAAGAAGGGGCATTTTGTCAAGGTTTTATAGGGACTATTATTATTATTATTATTATTTTGTTGTTTTCTAATTTTGGAATCAAATTGGTATTTGGATTGCACATTGTTCTAAATTGGGTTTGAACTTTTTCTTTACTTCTTGGAAATTTTTGGTTAAAACTTTATTTTGTTCCATTTATTTTAATAAAAAAACAATTTTTTTTTAGTTCCTATACTTAAAAAACTCATTTTTAATCACTTAAAGTTTATTTTTTAGTCTATTTTTAATTCCTTTATTATTTTTTGTACATATACCACGTTAAATGGCAAAAATTTAAAAATAGAGGAGCTGAAAAAAACTTTAAAAAGTCTCCTTTTGGTCCTTTTATTTTTAAAAAAACCTCTTTTTAATTCTTTTATTTTTTATTTTCATTATCTAACATATCACATGTATAAAAAAATAACAAGGGGACTAAAAGTAATTGAATAATAAACTTTAGAGATAAAAAAAATTTAAATAAAAAGATTAAAAAATTTTATTTATTAAATAAAAGTATCAAAATGAGATTTTAACTAAAAATTTTCTTTACAACACATTTTCCTTTAAAAATCCATATTTGCTAGTATTAAATTTACCAAAAGTAAAGAAAGATCAATACAAAATTACTCTTTTGAAATGAGATAATGTTCAATAACACGTATAAATTTAATTGGTATTGAAAAACTAATAATTGGTGTAAGTCCAAAAGGTCTTACAAGTACAATTCGATAGATCTTTTTCTTTTTGGGCCTAACATTTGGATGGATCCTTCCTGGATCTAAGATATTTAGGGAAGAAATAGGGAAGTTTAAAATTTGAACCCTTATAATAATACTAGTTAGGCACAATCCACCTAAAGCAATTGTTATTTAATTGTTTTTTTTTTTTATTGGAAATGTTAGGATTTAGATTTGATGACTAAGAGTCTTAAAAGTCAAACGATTCTTCATGGATGTCTTGAGGGACTCGAAGACAATTATTTTTTTAACTTAGAGTTAGGGTTTACATGGAGGAGTAGTTAATTGCATAACAGATTCAAAACTCAATAAATAAATAAATAAATAAAATATTCTTAAATAATAATGTGTCTTGACAACCTACATTTATGAGAGAGTGAATCCACAAATACTAAAATTGTATGGATTTTTTTCATGATTTAAATAATTTATTAATAATTTTTTTGCATAAAAAAAATTATGAGTTTTAATCATATTATATATGGGTGGTAGAAGTTAAAAATGAGAGAAAATTACTTTTTATTATACAATAAAAAAAATTATATGGATTTCTTTATGGTGAATAAATAAATAATTTATTCTATTTTATAATAGAATATTCTATATAAGAATTATACCAAATCAAGTGTCCTTTATTTTTTGAAATACATATTATAATATAACACCTCTTCACCAATTAATTATTTGATCCCCTTATTTCTTTAGTTATTGATTTTGGTCTTTTTCTTCTCATTGGCATCCACTTGTGCATAGAGGTGGAAGTCAGAATATTCCACCCAAAGGGTTGTGCTCCATTAATTAAGGAGAAATTTTGGATTGTTGCTCTTGGATTACCTAGAGTAACATAATATATTAAGCTCAAATTATTAATTATTCTTTCTTTTCTTTTATAAACATAATAAATCAAAGTAATGAATACTACCAGATTATTTTATTAGGGGATACTGGAGAGAAAGCAGAAGTCCATCTAATAAACTTATTACTAACTAGGGAATCAGGTAAAGTTTAAGGACTAATCAACATAATAATTTATGATTAGGGATAAGATTAGAATCAAAAGTAAGATCTAAGCCATGTGTGACATAGCCCTCACCGTATAAAATTCTTGATTCATCAGTTTATTGTCAGTTTGTGGATGACAGCATTTGTTTCGTAATAATTTAATTGTTAGTATTTTACGATTAAAACTATACCAAACTATAAAATAACCTTTTCAATTTGAATATGTTGGTATCATATCACAGTTTTAGATGAGAATGAGGTTTTGAACTCGAGGCTGAACATTAAATTTGTGTAGATAAGTTGTTTTCCATTGCCAAAGAATAACAAATTGTTCAAATTTCCCAGTGTCAAATGGTACTTGACAATGGGCAAAACAATGTTTCCCCCCCAACATTACATAGCAGCAACTTCTATTCAGCATTCCCTTTCTATTTCTATACAAGCTTCTAACAGGGGAATCTGGCAATGCATAGATAGCTTCAATTTTCACTTGTGAAAGAGACGTCACTTTGGTTGTTACTATTGTTGCTACTCGTAAGAAAGAAAAACAAATTAGAAAAAAAAAAGAAAAAAAAGAAAACAGTTAAGAGACGATGTAGCCAGTTCAAGACAGCACATGGTCTGAATCCTAACTAGAATTTGTTGAAGCTGATGACACTTTTGCCAATTCAGCTCTTTGCTCCTCCTCCTGTTGCCTTTTCAGATAAGTTTGGGATGTTGCTGTCACAATCTTGATAAAGAAGTTGACGAGCATAAGCCAGACAATTGTGTTCCACATTGAAGCAAATGAGAAATCCCACTTTTTAACCTGTGAAGTATTATGTGTAGAGTTTAAGAAAGATTATATTAACTGGAAAGGAAAAATTCTGCATACCTTGCATTTTAAGACCCTATTGTAGTGGTTAAAAGACAGTAGTAATTCTTCAAATTCTCCCATATTGTTGCATTAGGGAGGATTCATATTTCAGGATGTGGCACTCCATAGTCAAAACCCAAGCAAAAATATTGATAGAGCTTTAATGTAGAAGTAAGGAGTACCTTGATATTAGAGTGAACTGGTGGTGGTGCTGCCAAGTACTTATCTCTGACTGCATGGAGTTTTGCTGTGAGCTTGGGAAGGGAAGAATCAAGACCAGGTGCAAGGCTGAGCACCCAGATCAATTCATTCTCAACCCAGTTAAGTAGTTGATTATTACAGACAGAGATGATAAAAGCTGTCTGCAAGAAAGAAAACGAAAAAACATTGATGAGGTGTCAGATTGGAACTTCAAAAATCAAATCATGCATGTATGTTTGTAAAGACATTGGAAAAGCTGGAAAATTTTGTATTCCTCTTATTGTAGAAAATTTGAGTCGATACTAATAAGATTTATAGCGATAATTGTCTTATCAGTTACAAACCAGATTCTAGACCCTAAAATGGGAGTGAAAATACCAAACTCAGGAGAAGCTATATATCTATCGTTTTGAAAACAGGTTCAAGACCTGACATGCATTAAATTTAACAGATGAAGTTTTGAGGCATAATGTTAAGAAAATTCAGGAGAAGCTATAAATAATTATATAAAAATCTTTTTGAAACATGTTCAAGACAAAACATGGATTAAATTTATATGATGAGGATAATAATAAAAGCTTGAAAAGAAAAAAAGTAGCGCCCTACGAAGAACTTCACAAACCTGTATGTGAGTTTTAATAATTGCCTTTCCTAACAATGTTGCGAGAAAGAACTTCCAGAATGGAATGCCAAATTGTCCACACATGATGCCAGCAAGGTCAAACAGCGGATTTGGGACCTAAAAATTAACCAGTAGGTCTTGTATTAAACATACAGCCAGTAATGTCATAAATAGAGCTAATGAACCATAATCAATCTTTATGATAATTAGAAAGTAAAATCACTGAACTAAGGCTTCATTGATATTCAAACACCACATTTTTCTCTAAACTGAGTCGAAACAAGTGTGGCACTTCATAATGGAGACACATCTCAAAATAATGTGTGATATTCACCCTGGTGAAAATCTAAAAGAACAACATAGGGCTATACCAAATCTTTTAGTTTATGTCCATAGGGAAAATATTTTTATTTTGAGTTTGGAAGTACGTAAGCCAGGATCAGGGGGCGGGGGGTTCTGAACCTTAGCATGGACGGATTCAGTATCTGTACATATGTGAGGATATTTATGAATATACATGCATAAGCATACACACACTCACACAGAAACACATGCAAAAAAAGAAAAATGCCAAGAAACTAGAGATTGAAACTAACTGAAGCTAGCACTAATATTGTGAAGAAGTTCAAATATTGGGAGTGAGTTAGAAGCCAGCGTTTGATCTCGTTCAGATTTGTAGCAATGAATCCATTATCCTCAGTTGAATCCAATTCTTGCATGGCATCCACTTTGCTGCCTGATATGCTTGCTGCATAAAAAGATGAAGATTAGCATTTGCTGAATGCTGGCCTTGCACAAGTATAATGTAAGGCCATTATAAATTTGAAAGGGCAACAACAGATGACAGGCAACAATATACAGACACAAATATACTCTAACCACAAACTTATAAGTTCAAAATACACAATCCAAATGACTACCACCCCTCACAAAAAAATTCCCCTATACCCTTTTACTAATCATATCAGTCCAACATATTTCCAGTTTAGTGTTTCCATCAGTGAAATGGACACTTTGACAGAATTACTGGTTGATGTCCTCCATTGCTTGCCACATGAATTAACAGCAACGTAATTTTAGAAAATACAAAAAAAAAAAAAATTGTTGGGCCTCTAACCTGCCCTTGAGATAAAATACGGAGGAAGCTCCCCAAGTGCAGTTCCAATACCCCACAAGATAGCCTCTATTTGAACATGTGGCAGTATGCTGCTAAGAGGAACCCTCAAACCCTGTGATGACTGGAACAATGGGGGCCCAAATTCTTCACAAGTTTTGTCCAGCCATGATGGACCTCTTTTTAATTGTATTGTATCATATGTAGCACTTTTCAGATCAACTCGACCACACTGCATTGCTTTTATGGTGAATAGGGCAATATGAGGACCCAAATAGAGGACAAAGGTGTGTAGGCCAGACCCTGAAATCGAAGAGGTAAAGAAAGAAATTAAAAAAATAAAAAAAGACATATGATCAAGACACAGATCCTAAAAAGTATTCATATTCTTAATCCATCACAGTTATTGGAAGTTTTGAGGCACATAACCATAATGGTTAAGGCAGCAGCCAGATATGCCACCAAGTTTAGTTGTTTAAACTCATATGGAATGATGCTTTCCATGCAACATTTAAACAGTCTTCATGAAAACAAATGCTTCATACCAAGACCAATTGAAGATGCAACACCCAGTGCAATCCACCACAATCCAAATTGGGCATACTTAGAGAGTTCTTCAATATGCTGAAAGAAAAATTTAAGTCATCAACTGGTATTCACTGTTGCCAGTAAAATTGTAAATATTCAATGTCTGTTACCTTTTCATGAGGGCCATCAATGGTCAGCAGCAGAATTCCAAAAGCCAAAACTGCAGTGCTTAACAGCAGAAGCCATCCACCTTTTGCCAAAATATATACTATTGATTGCTTAAAGTATTGGATAATGGCCAAACCAAAAAACTTCAGAGTTTTGAAGGGTTGTGATGTCAATGTGAGATTTTCTAGTTCTTGTTGATGCTTCTTACGCAGATCTGAAAAATAATGGACACCCATGACCATGAGCTGATAGTATTAGATTCTGCTTCATGACTAAATATAACCATTTTATGATTTCAAGTGGATAAATTTTACAGCCAGAATTCAAACATACAATTCTTAGACTTATTCCTCCTTCATTTAGGAAAGCAGAAGAGGGGGATAAAATAATTTACTAGAAAAGGAACATTTTCCACTGCCAAATACAAGTAGATGTGAAAATTTCATCATCTATAGCTCATCCTTATCACAAAAGCTACATCCTTCAAAAAATTCCATCTTATAAACTGCACCTTCCTCTATGGTTTTCCCCCACCAATAACAAGCAACCGAATCACATACAGAAGCAAGCAACTATTAAGTCAATTCCAAAAAAAATTATCACGTACAGACCCAAATTTGCAATTCCTACTCCCCTGACATGAAACTTCCAACACAACATTCACAAAAGCAACCTCTACCAGACAGACAATTCTGTACTATCAACTTAAAAACAACTCTTCCTCCCATTGCAACCATTATCTCCACTGAACATAGAATGATCAGGTAACCCAAAAAACACACAGGAAATAGCCAGCCTGCTCAAGATTCTGTGCCGCTTAACACAAAACAGAAAGCAGTCCATCCAAAATTCCTTTCCTTTCATTCTTCTTGTTTCTAAATTACTCCCCGTACTCCCTCAAACTCAGAACTACCACTTACCTCCTCCTACAATCAGCTCATGTTCATCTACCTAAACAACTTTAAAATGAATAGACAAAAAGGAACCAACTTTGCAATTTGATGAAACAAAAATAACGAACCCACAAACAAGAGAATAAATTTATTAGAGATCTAAAACCCCAGAGCTCATTTCATTCTTACATCAAAATTTCAATCAAATAAAAAATTTCAACAAACTATAAAATTACGAGAAAATTATTACAGAAATCGAAATTAAGATAACAAACACAAACACAAAAGAAGAGATTGAAAAACTTGCCTGCGATCGACATCTCCATATGCTGAGAAGAGGAAGAAGCAGTCTCTCCCGACCCCATTCCGTTCACACACTACTATCAAAAACCCACTTTTAATTTTCCTTTCTAAACATAAAAGGTTTAAAATTTAATGTATTTGAGTGTGATTCCGAAGAGGAATCTGATGGGAAAAAAACCCAAATATCTTTGGAATGAATCGAACAAAATCAATTAGAAAAAAACGGTTGTCTTGCAGATCTAAGAAGCAATAGCAGAGAGATGGAGAAGAAACTGAAAGGAGAAGAGTATATGCGTTGAGATCTCTCAGTAGAGCTTTTACCGCTACTCTTCTGTCTGCGTAAGATAGAAAGAGAGTCCTCCCTCCCTCTTTCCTTCTTTGTCGCAAACTTAGACTGCTGGTTTTTGTCTATTGCTTTTTCTTTTTCTTTTTCTTTTTTTAATTCATTAACGGACCAAAATAAGGGTATCTTTCTATTTTTTTAACAAATCTTCAAGTTGAATTACATGAAAAAGTAATATATAAATATATAAAAAGATTTTTAAATATATTTAATAAATTAACATGTTGCATATATTATTAAAATTATTTAAATAATTTTATATATAGTATATATATATATATATTTTAAAGTATTATTTTATTTTATTTTCATTTTTTATGTCCTCGTCCTAAGACAATTTAGTAGAGCATAAAAGCAAGCGAAACAGCCCCATTTATATGAAGTGAATTAGGGGGTTTTTTTTTATATTGTAATTATTTTTTAAAAAAGTTAAACACCTTAAGTTAAAAATTAAATTTATTAAAACTAAACAAAAGAAATATATAAATATATATTTATAAAAGA